GATTATCGTAGATTAATAATATGTCGCAGGCCGCATAAACATCAGTCGCGACCCGCATATGGCCCGCGGGCCGTACTTTGAACAGCCCTGCTCTAAATAAATCGGAAAAAACAGTTTATATAGTTAATTTTTTTAGAACCTTTTTATTTTCTGTTGACTGAGCCTAATTTATCACATTCTGAAATAAAAATATTCATCAACACTGATTAATCTTGTTTAAGCAATGTAACCACCAATGAATTTTTTTTTTTTTTTTTGTAGGTTCTTGAATATTTTATTATATTTTTCAAGCTATCCTAATTTTCTAAATAATTCGTAATGTAGTAATTAAATTAAATGAAAAATAAAATTAATTATACTTATTTAGACACATTGTAAACAATTCGAGTGGATCCAAAATTATCCATAAAAAAAGGAATGAAACCTTTTTTTACTATTTTTCTTTTTTGTATTGCTTGGGCCGCTGTTGTCCTGTTGGCATTAACAATAGATTTCGAAGGATACATGTTGTTGTGTGTGTGTTCGCCATTTTGTTTTTATCGCTTGTTTACCACTTAATAAGCAAAGGAAATAAATGAATTAAAGCAAAGCCAATAATTTATCATTGCAGTTGCCCGCTGCCCGGTATTTATTATATTTTCCTGGTATTTTATTTTTTTTTACTTTTTGTTTTTTTTCGCATGAATTTGTTCCACAGCACACATAATAACAATAAAATTTTAATTGAAATTTATTACAGTACAGAGAGCAACAAAAACAAAGGAACCGGGTGAATGGAAATGAAAAAGCTTTAAACACAATTTTTTTTATTGAAGTTAATATAAAAACGCTGAAATATTTAAAACCAAAATTGAATTTGTGAAAGCTGTGAATTTTGCATACTGGCAAATTTGGAATTGTTTTGAAAAAATGCAAACTGTTGTCGATTACCATGGCAGCAACAATAGCATTGGTAATAGCAACAACAATAGTAATGGTAGCTCCACTACAACAACAACAACAACGACAACAATCGAAACAATTGGCACACATAGTGAAGTTGATTCCGGAAAAATTGATGCAACAAATGCGGTAGCATTAACTACACCACCAATTGTTGCTGCTGAAGACAATGAAGAGCCAAATATACTACGACAACGTATAACAGCAGCTAAATCGACAACAATTGCCACAGCAATAACAACAACGAATGCAACAATAACAACAACAACTACAACGAATTGCAGTTTACCAGATATGTTCACGCATAAAAATGGTAATGCATGTATGATTGATGTTGCTGAATATTTAGGCAGCAATATTATTAAAATGTCTGCAACGCCATCACCATCACCCGAAGGATCGCCCAAAGTTTCACTTACCAAAAAATGCCTCACTACACATATGATTCCAACGCTAACACCAGTCACTGCAACAACTACAACAATACCAGCAACAGCAACAGCAACAGCTGCAGTAAGAGCCACTGCAATAGTAACACAAGCCATCGAAACTAACACAATCATTACTGATACCAATAATATTAACAATAGTCCGACATCTTCCAATTCGAATTCGAACTCCAACTCGAACTCAAGCACATCTTCTGTGATTGCCACGCCTGTGCTAACACATAATGGCAAAGAGACTGATTGCGGTGTTGGCTTAAATAATATACGTCGTTCAACGGAACGTAACGAAATACTCGCAACAAAAGTACTTCCATTGTCATCAAAATCGAATACATTTGATGCATACGATAAAGCGGGCCATGATCTTACTGCTATTAGCACAAATAAGGAATTTTTTACACCCATCTCACCGTCACCCTTATCCTCAACGAATTCAGCAGCAACACCAAGTTCACCAGCCTCATCAACCACCACAAGCGTATCATCATCGTCTTCAGTTAACTCCTCAACTGTGGCTGTCTCCAGTGCAACTATAAACTCCAAAGTCAATAAAACTATTGATGAGGAATTATTGCACTGGAATGATATGCCACAATATTTACAATTTAATCCATACGTACTCAAGGGTTACCGTCCATTACAAACGTTCAAGGGTTGTCTATTCAGTTTATTCTATTGGCACAACGAAACTATCAACATATTAACTCATGGTAAGTTAATAATGTATAGTAATATAAATGTATATATATTTTATGAAAGTATATAATATGCAGTACATCAATAAGACATTTCTGAGATTTATAAATAGCTTAAAACTCCAATCAAACTGCATAAAAGATCTCTCAAGAATTTGATTGATTTTCTTTACCAATAAGTAACGATTTATCGACGATTTAGTAACATTTTTCTCGCATAAAGCCTTAAAAGAAATGAACTAAGTCCAACCCGTAGAATTTAGGTAATTAAGTATAACTTTCGTCCTTACCGATAAACAGATATACAGTCCAACAAGCTATTAAATAATTACTTCCCTAAAAACCTCTTTCTTCTGGAATCAAACCTGAGTAGCCAAAGAGACAATTGCTTCTTTTTCCTATAAGTTTCTACAATTTCTTCAGTTAGTTTTATAAGCATTGCCCGGTTTCTCTTCGTGTTCTCTTATACACCAGTTACTGGAGAGTAGCAGAGAGAATAAGTTCCCAAGACTTAAAATATGAAGGTTAGGTTTACCTTGAAGTTTCGCATTAATTAAGTATCTTCTATTTATTATTGGTAAACTGAAGAAAGTAAAAGTAAATAATTCTCTTGGCGATCCTCTCGAAAGCATAAATCGGTACACCCTATATTCTTCTTTTCATGCCTCATAGATTGCTGTTAACCAATGTCAATAATATAATTATAAATATTAAGGTATATATTTTCGTACAGTGTTGTACCGTATATCGTATAAATAAAGTCGTATAAATAGTTTGATAATATTAACACTAATAATATATATTTAAAAATTATATCAAATACTTTTTACGCACTCTGCAAACACCTTAACTTAATTTATTTAAATTGGATTATCATTCCATGGATTTTATCGTGTAATTATCGATAATCGATTATTTTACAAGACGCAACAATTTGCCAACAAAGAGTTCGTTGTCAGCAGTGTCACTTAAACGTGACAAGGTAAAATTAAAAAAAGAAATATTTTTAATATATATATATCTATATATATATATATGTAAACTGTTAAGTTAAAGAATGTAAAAATATTAAAAGTGAAAAAACCTAAATGAAAGAATCAATGTTTCTGTTTGACAGTGGCAATGTCAATGGCAATATTAACATTCACTAAATAAGAAATGCCACATAAATAGTTCAAATTAATTTCAACAATTAAAATATGTAAAAAATATAACATTTTCTAAAAATAGTCAAAAATGATGTTATGATATATTGCATCGTGGGTGCTTATATCATATATTTTTACATATGTCAAAAAGCACTCACCTAAATAATATTAAATACATTAATGAGTTTCGTTAGAAGTAATATATTTTTTTAATGGAATATTTATTTTTTCAAAATGACATTATTATTTTTCAAAGTGACATTATTAATCAATGTCATGGTTAATGACAGTAGCCATGTAATAATGACAATTCTTACTTAATTAATTCCTATAAAATATTTAGTTATTGCTTCTCAGTTGAGAATAGGAATAGTTTTTGATAACATGACATCTCTCAGCCGCCTAGAAAAATATAATATGTTATTGTGCACCTTTATTTAATTTAATAAATATAATATAATAAAGAAATGGTTACCTTTTTACGGCAGTCCTGAATATAGAAAGTATTGGGACTCACATAGACAAATAACCTGTTGTGATACTATTGTAGCATTAACTTTATCTGCTCAATCAGCTGAGTAAGCTATCTGCTAGTAATAATAAACATTTCTTGTGTTACTAGGTCAACTATTCTCAGCACTGCTAATTTGGTGAAGTATAATTCTCCTCAGGATTGAATTCTTTGTCTACATAGAGCCGAACAGTGACGTATTAAATGTTCAATTGACTCTTCAATACCATCATTCAATACCATCAGCTTTTCTAAAAGTATTCATGGAATATGCCCAATCTAGTTGCAAGCATATTTGTTAAGATGAACTTTAACACACTGACGAGTTGACACATTGACATATAACACCATCTTTATATTAAGAGAATATTTTCTATTCAATTTTCGTCTAAAGATATCTTGGTCTACTTAGTAACAGTAGATTGTATAATCACCTATCGAAGTTAGAAATTCAATCCAACTCAGACTGCAGATACTGTAGATAAGAGAGAGAAACTGCATACCACGTGCTTGGGGAGTGCCCGTCACTGATGCACAAGCGAAAGATACACATAGGAGGGTATTTTATGAACCATAAATATTCAAGCCTAGGAAAGGTACGCTCTATAATGTCTTTCATTAAAGTAATCGGACTTGAAGAAACACTCTAACCCGAGTAAGAGGCACAATAGATCTTTTAGGTCACAGTGCACAATCCCTTCTTTTAATAATCATAATAATAGTAACAAATTTATTCCATCAGCTTGAATTTTCCTATCACTCCCTTTCTTTGCATTTTTTTTTTTTCTGAAAACACATTTCAAGGTGGATGCAATCTCTAATATTAAATTTTTTCTGGAATAGTAGTGTTGTATCTTGTGGATGTACATAATAGTGTTACAATTTCTTATTCATATCATTATACAAATTAAATGGACATTACTTGCGTCATTTATTTCATTGAGAAATAAACTGCATATCAATACTACTATAGATTTCGTCTCATTAATTCTGATATATATGATGATAAGGTAGCTATTAATGAAAATACAATATTCGAGTTACAATGACTACGACATGGATCACTTAACTTATTGAGTGTGTTAAAATAGGTAAATATATCAACCTTTACATATATTTGTATGTTTTGTTAATGTGAATTGACCACCAAGACTATACATTTTAAAAACACTGGATTAATCTTCTTCTAATTTAATTGAAATTAATTCAATAAATATTAACATACTTTTATTTATATTTATATTTATATTTACACTTCTATTTTATTTAAATTGAAATATTATTAAATTTTCTAATAAATTGCACATTTATTTGACGGATTCATCTGAGAACCTAGTTCACAGTTGAATTCTTTCGAGAATTCTACCATATTTGAAAGTGGTCCAATTACTCTAAACATTGAAGGCACATGTGAGTCTGTTGATGTCTGCAAATCTCTTATTTTTGGATGACTATCACTGCACCACAATTGTGCATATGTTATAAAAAATAATTGTTTACTTGTATAATTCAATGTCGGTAATGTTTCAAATTCTAAATTTTGCCCAGAGCGCACTGCATCCTCATACCAATTCAAATAAGCTTCATATGCCAAACGTATTCCGCCATTGTCAGCAATATTTTCAGACTGAGCAGTACTTTCTGGTAGGAAACGCCCACCGTATATATATTTACTGTATTGATTAGAGAAGCATTTAGTTTTTGCCGTGAATATTTTTGTAGATAGTTCATCCCACCAATCTCTACTGTTTCCATCTTTATCATATCTTCGACCTGTGTCATCAAAACCATGTACCATCTCATGACCAACTAACGTGCCCAAAGTACCGAACTTTAAAGCATTTGGATAAATGGCAGCCCATAGATAATAAGGCTGTAACAGTGATACTGGCACTTTTATTGTGTTTTCAATAATAATATTTGCAGGGGTATATGAAAGTAATTCGCCTGCTTCCATTGGTTTTGGTGGTTCACGTAATTTAATAAGTAATTGAGAGGCACTCCAATTTAACATATTCTTAATATTTTCAACATAATCCTCACCATTAATTGTCAAGTTGGCAAACTCCTTGGCGAAGTCGTCTTTAGTATAAGAGTTGATTTCCAATTTCATTGCATCAAGTTTCTCAATAGCTGACTTTCTAGTATCGAGATCAATCCAACTTAGTTCTGTAGATAATAATTTTGATCTATAAATGTTTTTTAGTTTGTTCCATACCAATTCAATATCCATTTCTGTTGTTTTGGTATTATATTTTCTATAAATCATATTATCCAATACCTTCGCAAAATGTGACTTAGTCTTGGCTATACACAAAACTTCTTGACGAACTCTCGTTTTAGCAATTTTTAGCTGAAATTCACTAACCAGATTATAGAAAATATAATTAGCCACAATACGCTTTGGTGTTCTTATTATAACATCTTTCAGATTGTCTTGATAGTCTGGTATGAATTCATAAATAGTTTCATTAAAATCAGCTCCGATCCTTATATCAAAAAAACGACGTATATCAATGTCTGGTGAATATTTCTTTTGCATTTCGTCAATTGTGGTTAAGTGTGTCATCTCATCTAATCCTAAACCCAATTTCTCATCTATCATACCACTGGCCAAAGAAATTTCAAAGTCCATTATATCTGCTGCTGTTTCTTTTGCCACTTTTTCATTTATGCCCAAATAACGTTTTAAATCATCAGCTATTTTTATTTTGTAGCTCTCCCGGTATATTTCCGTAACACTATCTAAGTACATTGAACGACTCTCTAATGGAAAATCTGGATGTCCAATATAAGCACGATTTTCTGAATTTTTAGCAAAATCTGCAAATACCTCAATACTTAGAATTATATCTTTACCATATTTTGAGCTAATTTTTCCCACTGTCTCCAACCAATTGAAGTTCTCCTCCTGCCATTTATCACCAACCAATGCTGGCATTTCACCGAACTCCGCAATTATTTCCTTCAATTTTGTTCTGTATCCTGACTGTAGTTGACCAATGTTTGTGCAGGATTCATAGAAATTCTTAACTTTGATATCTGTTTCCGTATCATTGTACTGCACTCCCGATTTTAGTATTAATGCTAGTTTGCGGTCCAAAGCTAAAGTTATCGACTCAAAAAAGCCAGTCGTTACATGTTCAAAAGAGTTTGCTGGATTTATTTTCAACCAATTGCCACATGCAAAATTGTAAAAGTCATCGCATGGATCGATGCTTGTGTTCATGTAGTTATGCATTTCGGCCGCTTTGGAACGGCGCATGATGTCACGTACATATGGAGAATTTATCTGATCAACTGGCTTAATGACATCTGATTTATGCGCAATTGGCGTGGTTGCAATCCGTGACACTAAAGTGAAAAGTACCACAATTGCGACTATATATATATTCATTTTTGTTAATTAAAATTATTTTTTTAATTTTCGAAAATTTTGTTGTTTAACAGACGAATAACAAAGCATGACTGTTCTGAGCGAGTAGTGAAAATAGCTAAATAGCTAAATAGGGAGAAGTTATATATTGCAATAATTAAAAATCCAAACAAACGCAATCAAATCTTTTCAAAATGGTCAGAAGTTTATCAGTACTCGATCAAGCTCACGTTTGTTGACTGAAATTACTCTCATTTTATAACTGAATTCTAATTTTAGTTTGAAAACAAAAATATTCTAGCATGATTATTGCATTTAATGAATAATAAATTACAAGGAAGCACAATAAATTTCATTGTGACATATATTATGAGAGTTTTTTTATTAGTTATTGATGCGCTGCACTAATATAAAAAATAGTCTAATACAGTAATAGTAGTGTAATTGATTAAATAATTTAAACAAAAGTTAACTATAATTAATGATTATAATTATTAATTTATTACCATACCATTAAGTTTCTCATATAATGATATTTCCACTTGAGAAAATCTAAATTTACAATATTCACAGCTCAGAATTCGACGTTTAGTACCCGATGCGATCAAATGCTAATGCATCTAAATACATTAAATATGGTTGTTGAGTTTTATAAGATATAAAATATAATAGAGTAAATAAAATAAGTAATAGAGTAATAGAGAAATTAGTTAAAAATTAGTTAAATAGGTATTTATCTATAAAACTAAACGAATGTAGGCATAGCATATTGTATTTATTTAAGTAATTGAATGAGTAAAAATACAAGTATCTTCTAATTATAATGCAATTAATAACTAAAATTTATATAATTCATATTGATTGTATATATTTTTAAATATTTTATAATCAAACTCACTTCAAATTTGCATACTAGTATATAGTAATGCACATTCATACTAACGATTGCTATCTTCACATTGAGCAGTCGTTGAACCATTATTAAATTTTTCTTATTTTGTGATTTGCAATATTTATATATAATATATAAAAAATAGCATGTATTAATTTGAAATAAACAAACACTCAACTAAAATTATTAATAAGAAATAATATAAATTTCTTATTTTAAGAAATTATGTTGGTATTCCATGGTTTACTCTTTCAATTTATTACAAATATATACTATCACTCTTCAATGATGAAGAAAAGAAAATATGATACTTTCTTCTGAAATTCAGCTCAGTACTCAACTAACAAAGTACCTTAATTGTATTTTAATCTACCCTAGAGTGAACTAGAAAAAAGATCCCTCTATCCAATCTTCTTAAATTATAATTTCTGAAGCAAAAGTTTTATTATTATCCAAAATGATCCATTAACTAAATGCCTTGATTATATTGCGTATCCCAATAAACGTGTCACCATCGTCTTCAGTTATTACCTCAACTGTGGCTGTCTCCAGTGCAACTATAAAATTCAAAGTTAATAAAAATATCGATGAGGAATTATTGCATTGTAATGATATGCCACAATATTTACAATTTAATACATATATACTCTAGGGTTACCGGCCATCAGTTTATTCTACGATCAATATATTAACTCATGATAAGTTATTAGTAATATAAATTTGTATATATATATATGAGAAAATTTAAAATGTATTATATTATAAGACAATTTAATCAAGTTCTGCTACAACATTCAGAAGACCCGGATGCGAAGCCACAATTTCCACACTTGTTTCGGATAGGTTTTCAGGGGCACTCAGAGACTGGAAAGTACTGGAACATTATTTTGGCATTGACCTTAAGTACATCGAATTCAAGATAACACCGCGGGGCAGTCATGCATCAGATGCAGTCATCTGTATTAGCTCTACTTGCTGCTTTATACAGCAGTGTTGCAGAAGGGGTTCAATACTTAATTCGGCCGCACTAATAGAATACACCTTGAATAGCATTGTACAAGCTTGTAATGTTTCCATGGTCAACTCGAAAGAAAGTCGCATACTAGTGGACCAAGCAAATCGCAGAATTATGGAGCACTTATCTGAGGTGCAGACGAAGAGTGACTAGAGCCCGGATGCTAAAGTAGAGGAGCTAAAATTCAAAATAGTCAAGAATAATTTTAAAACAGCTATAAACCAAAGAAGGTGACGTGGGAAGAACTGAGGGAAGACAAAAACAACAAAACCTGGGGCGCCCGCTGGGTGCCAGACAGCCTACTCAGACAACAGTAAAGGCTGCACAAACTAATAACCACTACTCAAGAAATATTGTTTTGATTGCAACACTTGACGTACGCTATGCATTTAATAGTGTGAGATGTAGCTAGCTATTTGTAAAATCGTAGTTTATAACATTCGCAATGGACCAAAAAAAAACAGATCACATCAAGAGCAACGCAAGGATCAGTCTTCGGACTTGACCTGTGGAATGATAACTACGTAGTATCTTAGAGCTGGAAAGGCAAGAAACACAGAAGAAGCGCAACGGAAGCTGTTGCGGAAGATACGAACGCAGGCATTGTTAGATGATCACAGACTGAAACTCGCCGCGGAGAAAAGAGAGCTGGTTTTTTCACAAGAAAACACATGGAGCTAGAAGTCAAGATGAGAGTATATGACAGTACAGTAAAAAAAAAAAAATATGACAGTATTAAAATGTCACAGAAAACAGTCAAATATGGAGGCCTTCGACTCAACTCTAGACTAACTTTCTGGACTCGCATTGAGAAAGCAGTAACTAAACCTGGAAAACCTACAGAAGCATTAAGCAGACTTAAAGACAGCTTCTTATGACTACGGTGAGCTACATTCTCCTATATGAAAACAAAAAATAAACCGATGCACTACTGTCACAATATTGCAGAAAAGCGTTAGCGTCAGCGCAACGAACAACAGATTTGAGAATATCTCTAGCGTACTGCATATTAGTAGTAATATTCGTATTAACGTGCAGGCTCAAGAGTGAAAAGCATGTTGGCAGGTAAAACACATATGGAACAACAACATCGACAGGCAGTCAATAAGGCACAGGACCAATGCAGTATGGCAGCATTGTTGAGACTCAGATAAACGAGGACGATGGACCACAAGGTTCATTTCAAAGTTGGTTGGTTTAGTCCATAGTTGATTGCAATACCAGATCAGCAGATATCTTTCCTTTGGCAACATTTTCCTCACAAGTTTTATAAGCATTGCCCGGTTTCTCTGCGTGATACTTAAGTCATGTATTCCCATGACTTAAGTATCTTCTATTAATTTTTGATAAACTGAAGAAAGTAAAAGTAAATAATTCTCTTGGCGATCCTCTCGAAAGCATAAATCGGTACACCCTATATTCTTCTTTTCATGCCTCATAGGTTGCTGTAAACCAATAATGTAAACCAGTAATATAATTATAAATATTAAGGTATATATTTTCGTGACAAGATGTACCGTATAAATAAATAAAACCGTATAAATAGTTTGATAATACTATACTAAGAGCTAATACTAATAATATATATTTAAAAAATACTTTCTACACACTTTGCAAACATCTTAACTTAATTTATTTAAATTGGATTATCATTCCATGGATTTTATCGTGTAACTATCGATAATCGATTATTTTACAAGACGCAACAATTTGCCAACAAAGAGTTCGTTGTCAGCAGTGTCACTTAAACGTGACAAGGTAAAATTAAAAAAAGAAATATTTTTAATATATATATATCTATATATATATATATGTAAACTGTTAAGTTAAAGAATGTAAAAATATTAAAAGTGAAAAAACCTAAATGAAAGAATCAATGTTTCTGTTTGACAGTGGCAATGTCAATGGCAATATTAACATTCACTAAAGAAATAAGAAATGCCACATAAATAGTTCAAATTAATTTCAATAATAAAAATATGTAAAAAATATAACATTTTCTAAAAATAGTCAAAAATGATATTATGATATATTGCATCGTGGGTGCTTATATCATATATTTTTACATATGTCAAAAAGCACTCACCTAAATAATATTAAATACATTAATGAGTTTCGTTAGAAATATATATTTTTTTAATGGAATATTTATTTTTTCAAAATGACATTATTATTTTTCAAAGTGACATTATTAACCAATGACATGGTTAATGACAGTAGCCATGTAATAATGACAATTCTTACTTAATCAATTCCTATAATATATTGAGTTATTGCTTCTCAGTTAAGAATAGGAATAGTTTTTGATAACATGAGATCACTCAGCCGCCTAGAAAAATATTATATTGTGTACCTTTATTTAATATAATGAATATAATATAATAAAGAAATGGTTACCTTTTTACGGCAGTCCTGAATAGGAAAGTATTGGGACTCACATAGACAAATAACCTGTTTTGATACTATTGTAGAATTAACTTCA